TGTTTGAATTCATAAAATTGTGCACAGACAAGACTATTGTGCAAGCAAGAAGACCTATGTTCAGGTGCACTCTGACATTCCTCAGCAAAGACAGTCTGAAGTTAGCTTGTCCACCTGGTGGAGAGCCTGGGCTTGTGTTCTCTTTCATTGATCTCCACCAGCAAATCCCCAGCCAATTGTTCACCCCCATTAAACTTGCAATAGGCTCTGCTGAACAGCTGTGGCTGACTCCTTTCACTAAAGAGTTGGGGCCCTGAGCCATCTGCTACCCCAATCCCCAGTCCTGGCCTCCTGCTGGGCCCCGCAGGCACACGTTTCATCTCCTTTGTGGGGAGCAGGGAGGGGGTACAACATGAGGGTTCGGGACTGAACATCAATAAGGCTCAAGTTGCCACATTTCAAATGTCAGCCAAGGCACCTATAGACAATCTTCTTTCAGATCAGGCCTGCAAATGCTCCACAGGATGCAGAGAGACACAATTCCCCTTCCCACAAAAATGTCCAGGAGACCAAGAAAACAGACTAGATCAATCCCATTGACTCCAGTCTAATTCAGAACCACACGTCCTTCCACTGACTTCTGTATCTCCTTTCTCTCCTGGTTTTCCTTCTACCTCTCTGACTTTCCTTCTTAAGTCTCTTTTATGGGCTCTTTGTATCCAATTAGACTAAAAAATATTGGGATTTCATTCTTGATCTTTTTCTCCTCTCACTTTTTGAACAGCAACTACAGCCCACAAATACTCACAGCTCCTAGATATGCATTCCCAATGCAGATTCCCCTCGTGATCTCCACACTCCAAACACACTGTCCTGACATCCCACAGGCACCTCGATTCGACATGTCCACATCTGAACTCATCTTCCATAAATCTAATCCTCCCATGGGACTGCGGCATTATGAAGCAGGCCAGAGTGTGGTCACTGCCTTTCTCCTCCACCTCCTCACGCCCATCAGCCCACAAGTGCTGGTGGTGACTTACACACAACCTCTTCACTCCGGCTTCACTACGTCTGTCTCAGTCAGGTCTGCGCTGAAGTTTGTCACCTCCCTGTCTCTCTCCTTGCTCCAGAGCATCCTCCACAGACTGCTGCCCAATCGGGAGACCTGTATTTGCTGACTCCTTCCCCATCAACCTCTGCATGCAGTTGGCCTCTGAGCCCCATAACTTCTATTTCCTTGCCATCTCTCAAAACCAACCCCTCAAATCCATTCCCATTGCTGGGGCTGCGGTTCAAGCAGCCCCGTCCCTCCGTGTGACAGCTCCCAATGGACTCTGCAGATCCAGTCCCAGCCTTCTCCTACTCCCTGTCCTTCTTCGGTCTGTCCTCAGAGAGCTCCCTCTCTAAAGTGTACCCCTGGCCACGTCACTGCTCTGCTTCAGAGCTTTCATCTGGGCTGCCCGTTGCCTTTTGGAAAAGGTCACTTAGCACAGGACTCAAGGACCCAACTGGTCTTTCCTGGGACCACCTCTCAAGCTCATGTCTTGCCTTATTTCCCTTGCCACTGCCCCTTCCAGCCATCCACCCAGAGGACTTGGCGTTCCTTTGCTCCTCTGTCTGGTCATGTTCAATTGCCATCACCACTAATAAGTTAGTGCCATCACAGTTTTTCTGGGCCATATTCCTTTCAGGTTGAAGAGCCAGGAGGCTGGTGGAAAATGGAACAGAAAGTGGGGGAGAGACCAGACCCTTGCTTCAGCCATTTTCTGCCAGGTCAGGATACACCACTACTGCTTGGTCTCCTCCACAATCCACTCTTAGAATTTTCCCTGGAGATGGGTTTGGACACTAGTTCTCTGGGTCCTTGTTCCACTGTTTCTTGAGTGTCTTCCTGTTGAAATGCCAGAGTAATGCAAGGAGAAGCCACACACACACTCTCTCTAGTCCCTCTCAGTTAGAATTCTCCTTGTGACTAGTGAATCTGCAAGGTCACTGGCCCAAGAGCTGGCCCTGATGGAGGCTGCAGCTAACAGGTTAGACTAACGTTGATCCAAGAAGCCAAGCATTGATTTGGTGCAACTCCAGATGGTGAAAGTGAAAGAGAAGTACCAGGGGAGTTTGACGCTCTCCTCCAAGGAGACAATGGGCACCATCTCTGTGAATTTAGGAGGTTAAAGCCACAACCAGCCCCATAATGAGGCCACCATCTATGGAGTAAACTCAAGCATACATGACTTAAAGGATACATGCCCAGGATGACAGCTTCAAGACATTTGATAGGCAAGGACTCTCGGGTCATTTCTTTCGCTGTTTCCATTAACCTGTAGGACAGAGCAAAGCAGAAGATCTCAGGACTTATTTATTTATGCAGTCAGTCAGTTTGACTGTTAAGCCATCAGCATGCTTGTCCCCATACTAGGCACCATGCAGGACTATAGGCAGAAAGGGGAGAGTTTGACTCACAGAAGGACACCAAAGCACATCTGCACTTGCAGAACAGAAATCCTAAATTCCCCACTCCACTCTCCAAGAGTTAGTTCCTGGAGGTTAGTGCCAGTATTCCATAGCACCCTCCAATGCCCCAGGACAGGGGGCATTACAGCGGAGCAAGTAAAGAATGCCTCATAACGTGAATTGCACAAGCCTTCCCCACCCTAACGGTTAGTCCTCACCACCGAACTGAGCTGTCAGAGTGGCCCAGTCCTCAGGCTCACCTACAACCTGGCCCTGGGGCACCCCCCACCTCCAACCCTAACAGACTAGGACGCTGGAGTACTGGCGTGAATTGCACAAGCCTTCCCCACCCTAACGGTTAGTCCTCACCACCGAACTGAGCTGTCAGAGTGGCCCAGTCCTCAGGCTCACCTCCAACCTGGCCCTGGGGCACCCCCCACCTCCAACCCTAACAGACTAGGACGCTGGAGTACTGGGATACAGGGATAGAGGTTGGGAGAGGGAGCTGGCAGCTCACGGGTAGGGGACGGGTCCTCTGGCCCCAGATCATGCACCACTTACCCACTCAGCGGTCTCATTTTCCTAATTTCAAAGAACTGGGTCCCTGTGTGATTGTATCTGTGTGAAGTATGTAAAGGGAAAGTGACAGAAAACTCCAAAGGTCCCAAGAATCCAGCAGAGGAAGCTATGCACTCTGATTTCTCAATGCGATGAAGAAGTGGAGGCTTCTCTGTAGCCAGAAGGTAAACAACAGCCTCTAACACCTCACTATCCTACCCTGGAAATTTAACTTCTAAGTTAGGCCTCAAAGCACCTTGGACCTGTATAATGGCTCTTTTAAATTTGCTCTGTGTTCCCATTAGTCTTAATTCACCTACAGGACTACGAGCTGTTTGAGAGTTGGGGCCATTCTTTTATCATCTTTGTATTACCCATAAAGCCTGGCAGAAGCCCCACCTATGCAAATTAGCAAATACTATTAAATGAATGAGGAATGAGTAAATGAATGGGTGGACAGATGGATAGATAAATGGGTGGATGGATGGAAGGGCAGTGATAGAAGGATGGAAAGATGGATAGATGGATGAGTGGATGGATGAATGGAAAGGTGGATGAATGGAAGGAAGGAAGGATAGAAGGAAAGGAAGGACAGAAGGATGCAAGGAAGATGGATGGAATGGGCAGAATGGAAGGGTGGATGAGATGGATAGAAGGAAGGATGAAAGGATGGATAGATGGATGGATGGATAGAAAGATAAATGGATAAGTGGATGGATGGATGTCTGGATGGATGGCAGTAGGGTTTTTCAATAGCACAGACTCTGCAGCAGAGCTCACTGTGGAGACATCACTTTCTTTTCATACCTGGACTGACACGACATTGATTACTAAATCTCCGAAGATGACACTAGCATCTCCTATCTGGGATTTAGCTGACTGCCCCAAATGTCTCAGGGACTGGCAAGCCTGCACCAGGTCATTCTAAAGAAGACTAAAGATTCCCCTATGTCGTGAGAAATGAGACTGGATCTTGATTTTTCTGAGCCTAAAGAAGTGTTGCTTTGTATGTTTCCCTCTCTGGCTTTAATCAAAATCCTATAGAAAAAAGTGCATGTTGGGAGCGTGCTAATGAAGCACAAACTTGTGTGTCTGGAGCTGCTGCGGCTGGAGGCGGGGTTGTATGAGATTTGACATGTGCCCTGTAGTGACAAAGGCAGCTGCAGCGGGGTCACTGAGTGCTAGGAGTACTTCACGCCCTCCTGAGAGGGGCTTGGGTTCCTTTCCTGGCACAGAGGTGCTTGCCCACTTGAACATGGGCACACTTCATCACCACCTGGGGAGCTCATTATTAACAGATTCTGGACATCTCTGGAGATTCTGATCTCAGGCCATGGTTCCTAACCCTGGATGCCATTCTGAGACACTCCAACTCAGACTATTGAGTTGGAAGCTCCGGGGTGAGGACCGGGGGTGATTTTAACAAGTTCACCAGTTTGGGAGTTGCTGATCTGTGCCATTAACAATATAGCCTTGCCCAGCTTTTAAAAATACAATCTACAAAATCTCAGAGGTAAAAGAGAAGGAGGGACTAAATATTCTCATTGTAAAGTGACTTTTTCTTTTCTTTTTACTTTAGCAAGGAATTTACTCAGTGAGGCTCTCCATTTGAAGTACAATTCAATTGGCAAAAATTAAATTAGATGCCCAACTGTCCCCTTTTATATATGTAATTTATGCCTCTAGTGCATAAAGTGAAACAAACCTATAACTAAATAAAAATTTCCTGACCAACCTCTCTCGGTTCCTCAGTTAGTAATTGAACCCCTGGAAGTGGGCAGGAAAGAAAATCCTCTAAACATTCTCTTCAGAGTAGGACAGACCCCGAGTCCAAGTTCGCCCTCAGAAAGTTTCTCCCCATGCAGCAGAACCCATGAGGCACCTTTTCCAGAACCCCATGCAAGGTCAGCACTCCCGTTTGCTTTTGCTCTGAGGCTGAACCCAGGGGAAGGCAGGATTTGTCCTTTGATATCCCCACTGCCACCTGAGCACATCTGCAGTCAGTTCTGGGCCCAGGCAGTCCCCAGACCCTGGCACCTGTCACTGTGTCCAGAACAAAGCAGTAGGAACTAAATAAAAGTCTGGTCAGGAGGCAGAAGGAAGAGTCCACGTTCTGCCTTCCCTGGGTGACGGCTCCAATGACCAAGTGACCGGAATCACAATCACAGCAGCCTCCTGGTGCTTTCCCCTCTCCGGCCCTCTCTGCAGTCGGAAAGTGAGGTCAGTGACAGTGGTTATGGATCAGAGAAAAGAAAAATTAAAAAGCAGACCTTTCAGGGCATCAGTGAATCTTGGATGAGTATGTGGGGCAGGAGCAAACAGTAGATAAAACCCTGAAAATCTGCCCCCGTTAACGCACTCCCGGTCAGGCTCGTTTTCTCTTAAATCTCTGCTGCGTGATCCCTGTGAAGACCATATCCTAGACAGAAGTGAAGAGCCATTCTAATTTGTCACCTTCTGGAATATTCAGCAAGGGGAGTCAGGCTCGTTTTCTCTTAAATCTCTGCTGCGTGATCCCTGTGAAGACCGTATCCTAGACAGAAGTGAAGAGCCATTCTAATTTGTCACCTTCTGGAATATTCAGCAAGGGGTGAGTCACATTTAAGAAGGGTCATCCTTGGGGTCCGGGTCTACTCTGGCAGGGGTTTGAGCTTCTGGACCACCTGGATCTCCCCTTGCGGGTCCCAGTCTGGGGATCAGCACCAACACCAGACAGCCTTCCCAGGGCCAGCGCTGCCGGCCTCACTCTTGGAGGCTGGTGCCACCTCCCCCCTCTAATATCACTTCAGGATTCCCCTGGAAAGATGCCATGAAAGGGCACTGATGATCCATGAAGTCGGAACTGAGAGGCGAACCAAGTAATCTCTCCACCCGAAGGAGCAGAAGCTGCTGTCATTCCCGTCTGGCGATACCCAGCTCTATGGGGGAGGTGCACAAAAATCCACTAGGAAGATTCTTGTCCTCACACAGCAAGGAGGAGCTCTCCCGGGGCATGTGGGACATATGGGACATGTGTCCAGTGACCCTGATATCCCTCTGCCTCAAGGCTGGGTATAGCAGGCACGCAGGAAGCAAGCCAGTGTGCCCGGGGCCTGGTAGGACAGGCCAAGTTTTATGTCTTTATAGAGAAAGGACAGGAGTCATCAGAAGCTTCACCTCCCAGACAGTGCTGGGGGCCAGCTCCCCATCTGACTCCTCTCCCTATAAAATACCAGAGTGGCGAGCAGACCATCCCCTTCTGCCCCTTATTCCTACAGTGCTGCTTGGGGGACCTCAGTGCTGATCTAACCCTGACTGCAAACAGCCTGAGGACACTGGAGGAGAAAGGACCGAAAGTCTGGCTAGTCTGAACCCAGCCCAGACCCGCAGGGCTCCTCAGCTCTTTACTGCAAACAACCTGAGGAACCTGGAGGAGAAAGGACCGAAAGTCTGGCTAGTCTGAACCCAGCCCAGACCCGCAGGGCTCCTCAGCTCTTCTTCAAGCTCAAGTTGGGGGAAGGGCCCCCAGCCCAGAGCCCCGTCCATTCATGCGTAGTGGGCCCTGGGCTCAGGCAGTGCTGCCGCTGGAAAGGAAAGGAGGCTCCTCCGGACTTAAGCCACTTAGGGAGAAGCAGAAAGGGCTAAAGGAGAGATTAGCCCTATCCTTGGAGAAAACAGGGCAAGGAGGCCCTGGGGATTTAGTGCTTAACTGACAGAAGGGGAAGCTGCTGGTGACAGACTCAAGGACAGCCCTGGGCAGCCTGGCCAGGCAACAGAGGCAGATGCCGCCTAAGGCCACCCTGGCTGTCGCCCTAGCTGTCCAGGCTCAAGCCCCACAGTGGAGCTGGGGGCATGCTGCCCCAGGCATGGGGCACGGGGCTCTTTCCACACTTCGAGCTCTTTGGCTGCATTTACTGCAAATACTTCTTGGCATTTTTTTCCCTCTCAGTGCCTCTATTCTCTCTTGGCTTTTTGAAATGTCCTACTTCACAGCATCTGCCCCTTCAGCTGCAAGAAAACTAGTAATACTTTCTATATTGCGCCAATGTGTCGTGCTTGTGCGTGTGTTCTATGAGTTACATTTTGTTTACAACATATCAGCTCAAATAAATCACATTCCTATCTTGGAGTGTCATGTTGGGGAGCAAATTGTTCTAATTTGAGCATCTGCTCCCTTGACTCTCCACACTCACAAACACACACACTTAAAATGTAAGGTGTGTCCTTGTGTTTCCACCCGGAGTGTCATGTCGGGGAGCAAATTGTTCTAATTTGAGCATCTGCTCCCATGACTCTCCACACTCACAAACACACACACTTAAAATGTAAGGTGTGTCCTTGTGTTTCCACCTAATACTAGGAAGTGTCAAGCTTGTCCCTGTTTTTTGCATGCCTGGTTTACCCATACCTGGACGTCTGTGTAAGAATGTGCCAGAGATTTCACCGAGAAGTGAGGAGAGAAGGGTGATGTGAGCTGTCTTTAACACCTCCCAGGTTCCAACTCTAGGCCAGGCACAAAGGGGACAGGGCACACAGGAGCAGAGGAAGGGAGGAGGGAAATTACAGTTTATTAAGACCTAAGCATTTCTATACAGAAAAGTGCTGATTGTACCTATTTAATAGAAAAGCTGTTAAGCATGAGAAAATGCCCTGAAGAATTACCAGACATCTAAGAGATCCCCAGAGGGGTGTCCCTTGGCCAGGGCCTTGCTGTAGCCAGTGACTTGCTTCACAGCTGGCTATGGGGGCCCACCACCAAATTACTTCTACTCCCCCAAGCCCAACAGAGCCCACAAGAGCTGGATGGTGGGGGTGGGACTCAGGCGGCAGCTGGTCCTCAGAATAGCAGCTCAGTGGCGCCAAAGGGCTTTTAAAAACAGCTGCCTGGTTACCTCAGCCTGCCCGCCTGTGAGCAGCGTGCAGGAGCTGTGGCCACATGTCCTCCCCACTGGGGGGATGAATGCATACATTCCCCAGACCCCACTGGGGGGCAGGGCTGTGGCAGGAAGAGGAGCTGAGACAGCTCAGGGATGATGTCATCGGCTGCAGCTCACCCCCATGTCTGGGAGGGCTGAGCTGGCTGGGGCTCAGAGGGGGGTCAGCCTCCAACCAGCACCTCCACTGCCAGTGTTCCCACCCGGCACGGACTACACACCAGGAGTGCTCCTTGGGTGTAATTACGAGTCACATACAGCCAGGTTCAAATCCCTGCCCTGTCACCTACTAGCTGTGGACCCTGGTCAAGCTGCATGACTTCTCTAAGCCTCCGTTTTCTTCCTGATAAAATAGGAATAGTATCAGCCACTTCAAACCTTCCAGGCTGGCTGTGAGGATTACGTGACCTGATGTATAAAGTAGGCAGCTTGGGGCTGGGCTCACGGTCGCATGAAGTATAAGCTGTGTTATCATATGTCAACAATTTGTTCTCAGGGGTCTGGACTGGGGAAGCCCGAAGGGTCTACGCTTTTCTGGAACTGGAAAACAGAATCAGCAGTGGCCTGAGTCTCTGGACAATGTACTCAGGAGCTTCACATCATGAAGATGCCTTCTCACCCTAATGCAAGGAGATGAAAACATCCACTTCCCCCTGGAGATACACGGTGACAATGAGTTAATGTCCTTAATTTATGAAGAGTTCATACAAAGTGATAAGAAAACTCTTTAGGCCTCAATGAAAAAAAGTGGCCCCAAAAGGTGGAAGCAGCCCAGGTGTCCATCATGGGATGAATGGATCAACAAAACGTGCGTGTCCACACAGTGAAACACTACTCAGCCCTAAAAAGGAAGTACATTTTGACACATGCTCTGGCATGGAAGAAATGTGAAGACATTTTGCTAAGTGAAATAAGCCAATCACGAAAGAACAGATGTATTAATTCCTCTCACAGGAGGTTCCTATAGTTGTCTAATTCACAGACAGGAAGTAGAGGGTGGCTGGCAGGGAGGGTTGGGGGGGAGTTAGTGTTCAATGGGTACAAAGCTTCATTAGGGAAGATGAAAAAATTCTGGAGATGGATGGTGGTGACAGTTGCGCAACAAAGTGAGTGTTCTTAATGCCACAGAACTGTATACTTAAAAATGATTAAAATGGTAAAGCATATGTTACTTATGTTTTACCACAATAAAAAGGGCATGAAAAGACAATTCACAAAAGAAGAAATGCAAATTGTGAATAAATATTTGAAAAAATGTTCAAGCTCACAAATAAATTAAGAAATGCAAATTAAAACCACTGCAAAATGTTAGTTTTCACCTCTCCAAGGAGCAAAGACATTCTGAAATGCAGATTCCCAACATGCTGGTGAGGATGCACTTGCACAGCACTGATGGGAGCAAAAATGGGCGCAACCTTAGGAAAAGCCCAGGCACGCCCACTTTCTTCTCCCGGACTGGGGTCCTGAGCGTCCCTCCTCATGCTCTTTTCCTGCCAGATTTCATGAACTGCTACCTGAAAATCCAACTTTGATTTTCCATCACCCTTCCCCCAAGGTTCTCACCTCCTGCCACCTGCATCCAGCCCAGCCAGCTGCAGCCCAGCTGATGAAGGTGGAATCTAGACGGAACAGACCCAAACCAACCTCTCCCACGGACACTGAGCCTTAGTCTGGGGGTGGGGGCCCTGGGAGGTTTGGGTAGTGGGGTAAGGGGGTGCCACAGGCACGACTTGCAGACAGCCTCTCCTGCACTCAATTCTTGCCAAGTACAAATGACTTGTCAGAAGAATGCCAGGGGAAGTGATGTGGATGGGCACAGGCATGTAACTGGCATCACCAGGTGGGAGAGAAAGGGGAGGCCAGGAAAGGAGTCAGGGAGGCAGCAAGAGCCCCAGGCACTAGGAATCTTTAACAAGAAAGAACAAAGAGAAAGCAAAGCCTTTTATCATCCCTGCTCTGAAAACTACACTGTGCAGGCACCAGGAATCTGTTATGCTGGCCTGGTAGAGAGGTTGTGGGATCAGTACCTGGGGCAGAGCTGAATGGGCAGAGCAGGATGGACAGAGGGATGGTTCTGAATCCAGGACGGGAGGCTGTGAGCTGCCAGTGTGAGACAGCAGGGGCAGGAGTGGAGTCCTGCCTGCAGCAAACAGAGGGATGGTTCTGAATCCAGGATGGGAGGCTGTGAGCTGCCAGTGTGAGACAGCAGGGGCAGGAGTGGAGTCCTGCCTGCAGCAAAGTCTCAAGTCCCAATTTCTCACACTTCACTCCGGCAAAGCTCAGTCCTCTAAATGTGAATTCTTTCCCAATTTGGAATCAACGTGAGAATGAGACACAAAAATGTGGGGTCTGCAAAAAAAACCTACTGATGTTTCACGCTGAATCTATCCTGGTTTCCTGCCCCTGGGAGAGTTGGGCTCCAGCTGGTAAAGAAAGAGGAGGAGCTGTTTCCTAGTATGCCCAGCTGTTTTTTCTGGGCCAGTCACTCTCTCTGCCCCTCCAGTCCTCATCCTCCTATGGCCCCTTGCTGTTTTCTCAAACTATCCCGAAAAACCCTGGCTTTCACCTAGTCAAGTGCTAGCTTTGGACAGAGTAATGACCAGAGGAGGGCCTCAGTCACAAATTTAGGAGGAGGATCTCTGAGAAGTGAACCCCTCAACCACCCTGGGGGGATGCCTGGACCTTCAGGCAGAACTTACCATGGCTGCTAATGGAATGTCCTGTAGTCAAAGAACATGTCATTCAGTCCTTCTCGCAGGCCCTTGAAACCTTCCTCTGTCCACTTCTTTTGATTCTTAGTTCACATTCAATTGCTAAAAATGGTTAATCTCCCTGAAACTCTCCAACCCTTCAAGACCCTTACCATCCTACCACCTCCTTCTGTACAGATTCCTCAGCAAGACACTGATTTGGATAAAGGAGAAAAGAACTTGGTCCCAGAGGAAAGAGTCTGTCAAGCTGAACTCAGGAATAGCCCTTGAATCAGAGAGGAGTGGCCGTGGAAACAGGAGCTTTTGAGGCTGTCTCCAACTCAAGGCCTGGGCAGGGGTCAGGGTTTGGTTAGGGTTCGGGTAATGTCAGATGCTGGGAAGATGCAATGATGGGGTTAGGGATGGAGAACCAGCTGTTAAGATACAAGGTAAGAGATGGAAATGTTAAGTTCTTTATTTAGGTTCAAAAAGCCAACTGCCAACAGTTGAGTTGTGGGAGTCCCAGCTTGGCAGCAGTTCTCATGGGACCTTCGGGTTATTACGAAAGTACAGTATGAGGTGGCCACTGCATAAAATTCTCAGGATGTGGTAATCTGTGTTCTAAACTACACAGACAACATTTAAAATATTGTTTCATATGTGCTCGTTTTAGGGGACTGACTGATGACCAACTAGCCATTGCCCTAGAAAGAGAATGAGGAGGATAAATTGGTCTGGGAGCTGTGACATACGAAAGGGTCAGAGGAGCTACCTGTGGACAAAGAAGTCTAAAGGAAGATGTAGAGTGACAGAATGTCACAGTTCTGAGGACTCATAATCCAGCAGACCTCTAGTGTCACACAAATTAGCATTAGAGACTAGGAGACTCATGGGGCGTAAACATTGGATTTTAGAGTTGGAAAGAACTTTACATGAAATCTGGTGGACTCCCATTTTATAGTTGAGAAAAGTAAGGCCAGAGATTTTAGGTGAGTGACGTAGACCACAAAGCTAGATGTAGCACAACCCGGGCTAGCATTCAGTCCCTTGATTTTTTACTTCAAGTCCCTCCCACCATAAGAGCACGGTCTCATGACATTCAAGGGAGCTGTGAGTAGCAGAGGAAGTCGGCGTGCTCTGCCCTGATTCGACGGGCAATGTGAGAACCAGAGGAGAAATGGGACTGCGGGTGGGGAGTGGAGGAGGGCAGAGAAAGAGGATTTCTGTTCAGTCTAAAAAAAGAGCTTCCCCACAACCAAATCTGGCCGACGGGCAATGTGAGAACCAGAGGAGAAATGGGACTGCGGGTGGGGAGTGGAGGAGGGGCAGAGAAAGAGGATTTCTGTTCAGTCTAAAAAAAGAGCTTCCCCACAACCAAATCTGGCCAGGCCTGGGATTGCCTGTGAGGCAGTGTGGCCCTCATTCCCAGGAGGTCTTCTACTGAGAGGTGGGAGATTGGTCTCCACCAGCACTAAAATGCCATGATCCCCAGACCGGGAAGGGGGTCCGCACACACAAGGCTGGCAGAAGGATGAAGGCACAAATCAGGGTGGGGCGGTGCTGACAGTAACGAGTTAGAAAGGTAGAATGGCATGGTAGGAACAGTCCTCTGTTCCCTGCGGTCACCTCTCTTCCAGGTTTAAGGGCTCCCAGCTCCTCACTTAAAGAAGAAAAAATTCCAAAGTCAAAACTGCAAACCAGGAACTGTGTTGTTCTCATGTTCAAAGAGAACTCATCAAGGGTAATTATGGTTGACACTAAAGCAGGCAAGATTCTAGTTGAGCATAATGAAGAGCTCCTAGACCAGAAGAGAAATAGAATACTGTGACTGACTGCAGCAGGAACTTTAGAGGCTCTGTCACTTCCCCAAGGGCACACACAGCTTTCTGGCCTGCAGGCTCAGATGCTCAGCTGTCACCAGGCTGCAGACTCAACCAGATGGCATCCCAGGTCTTAGGTCTGGCATTCCTAAACCTGTACAGGAATCTTCTCAGCCATACCAGTATCCCCAGGGTCCAGGGTAAATCATGCTATAACCCCCAGGCTCTAGAGCTTTTCTCCCCAGTTTGCATTTTGATGTTTCACATAACACAGCAACTCCCACCAGGGGACATCTCCCTCCTTCCATGGCTTCTCTCCAAGGCAAAAAGAGAGTTTCACTTCTGAGCCTCTTTCTCTATCCAGTGAGACTAATTCATCATGTGTACTGGAAAGTCCCTTTTAAGCCAGAGCCAAAACTCTTTTTTTCTTGGAACCCAGAGAACCTGGGAAGAGAGACAGTTCACTGTTTTGCAAGCTTCAGAGGTGAAAGTCACTGTCAAAAAAAAAAAAAAAAAAAAAAAAAAAAAAAAAAAAAAAAAAAAAAAAAAGAAAGAAAGAAAAAGAAAAAGAAAAACGAAAAGAAAAGAAAAAATTGGGCTCAGTTGGTTAGAGCACACTGTTACAACACCAAGGGCAAAGGTTTGGATCCCCGTACTGGCCAACCGCCAAGGGGGAAAAAAATTGGCAGAAAGTCCAGAAATGATTTCACACTGAGAAGTTTGAGTAGTTGATCGCAAATTCATTCACAGCTTAATAAATCATTTGCTAGGGGGACAGCAAGAGACTCCGGAGAGGACGAGCAGGGTGGGGTATCTGGGGGTCTGCATTCTTGGCATCTCTGGTGTTAACTGGTGGCTCTAGCTTTTGCTGAAGGCGGATGTACATGAGAGGGAGGAGATAATAGAGTTTGGCTCGTGGTTCAAAGGAACCTTCGCACAACCCAACCATACAGTCCCAGGGCAGCAACCCCCTACTCCACGCTCCCCCATTCCTAAGGCTTCCGAGGCAAATGCTCAATTAAGAAAAGGGCTGATGGGAGGAATGGGAAGGAGTTTGTAGCGGGACCAGGAAAATGGAGATTGCCTCTATTCGCTACGTACAGGCTGAAATGATCCCATCACTGCCCGCTCCACCCGCTCCTTCAAAGCCACTGACCTTTGCCAGGAAGGCGGCGTTCCTGATGGCGCCCACCATTTCCGCCCCCTTGGGGTGCACCTTGGCCACGTGCATCCACATGCGCTCCCAGGTGTGGCTGTCGATGGGGAAGCCGCTCTTGTTAACGTGGAATAGCACCCCGCCGTCTTTGTCCTCCTCCTCCGAGCCCCCGCTGGTGGCGAGGCTCACGGGCCGCGCGTGGCTGCTCCGGGACCGGGTGCCTTTGGCGCCTTTGGGGTGGGGGCAGCGGTGAGTGTCGGCCGCGGAGCCGGTCATGGTGCGGCCGGGGCGGGGAGCGCGGGGCAGGGGGCGTGTGCGCGGGGTGCGGCGCGGGGATCAGCGCCCCGCCGGGGTGGCCGTCTCCATGCCTCTCGCTGCGGCAGGACGCGCGAAGGGGAGCGGCGGCGGGGGG